TTCTGATAAAATCAACTTAAAATGTCACTTGGGAAGGAGATTTGGGTAAGCCTAAATTGGTTAGGATTGGATAAAACAGCCCATCTCACAGACTACATTACCCAGCATCTTCTAGGGGCCATCTTGTGCCCTGAGAGTGTGAAAGATTTTTACCTCTCCCTTTCTAGGAATTACAAACTTCATTTTGCATTTCAAAGAGCTAATCGGTCCTCTTGTATTTCAATTGTCTCCACTCTTGTTTCTACTCTTTCTCTCTGGACACTAAGACCTGGACTTTGATCCCTTTGGAGCTCTCCATTTCATTGTCTTTTAGGAGTAAGATGGGTCTGTGACTGCAATCTTAACTATTGGGGGGGGGGGGCTGAGACGTGAGGATCCCAGTTAGTAGGCAGTCTGGAAGAGAAGTCCAGGAGACTCTTCTCCAATTAACCAGCAAAACAGCTGGAAGTAGAGTGTGGTTCAAGTGGAAGAGCACTAGTCTTGAGCACTAAAGCTCAGGGACAGCACTTAGGCCCTTGAGTTCAAGCTCCAGGACCGGTACCAAAGAGAGGAGAGGAGGGAGAAAGGGGAAGGGGAGAAGGAGAAGGGGTGGGGAGAGATATCCTTTCCAACCAATTACTCTCAAAAGTTACTCATAGGAGTAAAAACACACACACACAAAAACCAAAAACAGCAGGAATGTGAGAGCCAGCCTAAGGAGTGAGAATTTCCATTAGGACACTGGTCTGAGCCACACACTGTATAAACCCTGCGGGGTGAGGGTAGTGCGTTGAGAGGGGAGTCGACCATCCAGATGCACTGTACTCCAGTCTGACATGTTGAATTGAAAGACCTTTGTACAGCTATTCATAAACAATATAGATATATACGAAGTTATGTATAGATGCGTAAATATCTCACGCACAGGTTCCACCCCTGAGCTTTCCCCCTGGCCCCTGACAACAGGATTCTGATGATCAGGTAAGAACAAGGTCCTGGGCTGGGAACGTGGCTTAGTGATCGAGTGTTACTGGGTTCGATTCCTCAGCACCACAAATGCAGAAAAAGCCAGAAGTGGCGCTGTGGCTCAAGTGGTAGAGCGCTAGCCTTGAGCAAAAGAAGCGCAGGGACAGCGCCCAGGCCCTGAGTCCAAGCCCCAGGACCTGTTAAAAAACAAACAAAGAAACAAACAAACAAATCAAGGTCCTTCCTCATCTCCAGAGACTGGACCCACCAGCGTTTCTACGCCTGACTTCCCAAGCTCTCCAGCACCCAGGCTTACGGGGCATGCGCGCGCGCGCCCCGCCCACTTCCGAGAGCCTGTCAATCACCGCGCGAGCAGAAGCCTGGCGTCCCGTGGGCGCGCGCGCGGTTCTGGCGCCTGAGTCCCCGCCCCGCCCCTGCCAGGTGCGCTAGCGGCGCTGCCCGCTGCCTCGCAGCCCTGGCCGCTGCTCGACCTGCGCCAGGTAAGCCGGGAGGACGTCGGGAGGGACCTGGAGGTGGGGTCGCCCTAAGCAGAGGCTTCGGTGCCCAGCCCTTGGGGCGGCGGACTGCGCACCCCCGGATCGCTAGGGCGAGGGGGGAGGTTTCGGGGCACCCTGACGCTGCCAGCACCCCGGCCGCGGACTTCCAGCCGTCCTGCTGTTGGAGCCCTTCCCGCTCCCCCGAAGGGGGACCGTGCCCGGGGCCGTGATGCGCTGCTGCCGTCGATGGGCCCCGGGACCACAGCAGGGTGCAGTCCAAGACCGAGTTTCCAGACAGGAGGGAAAGGCAACCGCGAAGAGAAAAACTAAAGGACTCCCCGGTTCCGCCCAGTGGCGGTCAAGATGGTGGTCTTTGTGACTGGGCCGTCTGGAAGGATCTGGGGACGGGCCGGGGGCAGCTTAGTTAAGGGGGTTGGCGCGTCGATCGCACGCACGAGGCCCCGGGGTCTCCCTGGGCTGCTGGTGGGAGGAACAGTAGCTTGGGGAGGTCTACCATCCTGCTATGGCCAGCCCCACCCCGGTAGACGGGATCCTGCCCTGGCCCTCTGGGCTGTCTTGGATGGAGTTGGTACTTCAGGGCTCACGACTGAGCAGGTGTGAATCCGGTTACGTTTCTCATCTCAAGTAACAGTTTGCATCTGGACAGCAAGGAGTCTACCCCAGGTTTCTTCTATTAGCTTAAGAGTTACCCAGCTCCAGCTGGGAAGGTGGCTCAGCGGTAGAGCGCTTGCGGATGCCTCACGTGCCACTGTGACTCTATAGTAGTAGAGTGCTAGTCTTGAGCAAAAGCAGCTCAGGGAGAGCGCCCAGGCCCTGAGTTCAAGCCCCAGGACTGGCAAAAAAAAAAAAGAAAGTTACCCAGGTCCTTCCAGCCTGTGCGATGCATCATCAGCCACAAGAAGAGCAATAGGTAATACAGGTCTGAGAAGAGGGAAGAATTGAGACCATACACCTTAGGCTCCACTCACTGGACTTTAACTAAAGCACAAGGAAACGAGCAAAAGCCAAAGTTGGGTCTGTAGTTTGATTATGTATGTGGAGAGGGGAAATGAGACTCTTGTTCAATTGCTGATGTCCAGTAAATCTTGTTTTTCTTTGGGATAATGTGAAGCTGTTTCAAGGTTAAAATTTAGGAAGTGATGGACTTGGTTTGTGTTTAGAAAATCTGCAGAGTTGGAGACTTGGTGGATGGGTGGAATGTGTTCTGTGTGGAGACACTGGGTGAAGTGAAAGGATCAGCCTTAATGAGTGCTATAAACAGAGAAGATCCAATCATGACCTGAACTCAGCCTCAGCCTGGGTCCAAGGGGGCCCTGGTGGTTTTTTTTTTTTTTTAACTTAGCTGAAAAGTATTTAAGAAAGAGGAGGGGAACTCAAGTGGATTCAATTGACTAAGTAAAGGCAAGGCCTTAAGCCCTGAACTCAAACCCCGGTATTTCTACTCCTCCTTGCAAAAACAAAAACAAAGAGAATCTAGAACCAGGCATTAGTATGTGGACATGACATTCATGTCCTGATTTGGATAGCTGGGCCAGGGGAATTTGAGTATGTGGGAAAGGGAAGGCCTGTTGGGCCCTGAAATCTGTGTGGGAATTCTTACTTTGTGTGTGTATGTCTGTATATGCACGCATGCAAGCACTAGCTTTGTGCCATTTCTGGGCTTGAAATCAGGGCCTTACCCTTTACCCTCCTCAGCTTTCTTGCTCACTCGGCTTTCTTGCTCATGGCTGAAAGTAGTAGCTAGGGTTACAGGTGTGAGTCCCTCGCGACTACTCTTTTAACTTTTTGTTTTGTTTTATTTATTTATTTATTTTGGGGGGTCCAGTCGTGGGGCCTGAACTCTGGGCCTGGGCACTGTCCCTCAGCTCTTCAGCTCAAGGCTAGTGCTCTACCACTTGAGCCACAGCACCACTTCCGGCTTTTTTGTTTTTGCTTATGTGTTGCTGAGGAATCGAACCCAGGGCCTCATGCATGCAAGGCAAGCGCTCTACCACTGAGCCACCTTCCTAGCCCTCATTCATCCTTTCAAAATTAAAACTTTTTGTTCTGTGCTTGCCCTGGGGCTTGAACTCAGGGCCTGAGGCTATGACTGATATTTTTGCTCACGGCTAGCACTCTATCACTTGAGCCACTGCTGCTCTTTGAGCTTTTTGGAGGATAAGAGTTGTAAGAACGTTCCTACCTAGGCTGGCTTTAAACTAAGATGGTCAGATCTCAGCCTCCTGAGCAGCTAGGATTACAGACATGAGCCACCAGTGCCTGGCTTAAATCTTTTTATGACAGTACTGGTTCTTGAACTCAGGGCTGGGTCACAGTCCTTTAGCTTATTTGCCCAAGGCTGGTGGTCTGGCACTACAACCACAGCACCACTCCCAGGTTTGGGGTGGTTCATTGGAGACTTAACAGGCACTAACCGCCAGCACTTCACTTACACATAGTTTCCGTGACTCACTTACATGTCTCAGGACTCTACAGAAAATGTTACTTGCTGTTGTGATTTATTTCAGGGCAAACACTGGAGAGGGCAAAGCAGAGAGATCGCTGAGTGGAGTGACTGGGAACCTGCTTGGTTCTTCAAGTGGTAAGTTGTGACCTGGAGCGAAATGTTCCCCGAGCTGAGAGTCCATGTGTATCACCAGCTCCCCTAAACCCAAACATCAATTTAACTAAATGCATACAGAGTTGAAATTGCAAATACAAATAGAGGCCACGGATTCTGGTCTGCTTTTCAGATTTCTCACTTTTAGCTGGGTGCTGTGGGTTCATCCAGTAAATCCTGGGTACTTGGAAGTCTGAGATCTGAGGATACACATACTCAGGTTCGAAGCCAGCCTGTGCAAGGAAGTCCGTTAGGTTTTTGTCCCCCCCACCCCCCAAGACTGGTGCTCTACCACTTGGCCATAACTCAATTCTGAGCTTTATGGTATTATTTGGAGATATGAGTCTCATAGACTTTCCTTCCTGGGTTGGCTTGTAACCTCAGTGCTCACATCTCAGCCACTTGAATAGCTAGAATTATGGACATGAGCCACCAGTGCCTGGCTTGTCTTACAAGCTTTTTTTTTGCCAGTCATGGGGCCTGGGCGCTGTCCCTCAGCTCTTCAGCTCAAGGCTAGCCCTCTACCACTTGAGCCATGGCTCCACTTCTGGCTTTTTCTGCTTATATGGTGCAGAGGAACCGAACCCAGGGCCTCATGCATGCAAGGCAAGCACTCTACCAGCGAGCCACCTTCCCAGCCCCACAAGCTTATTTTCACCCAGTAGCTTTGACTGATGATTCTTCTGAACCCACTGTAATATTGTTGTTTCAAGTTTAGGAGGTTGTGACACAACAAGTCTTTCCTCATTCACAGGCTTGAGGAGATGTGTGACTCACTGCTTTGCTGAAGACCCTCATCGCCCTTAAGTTCAGATGAGCTCGGGGTGACAGAGCTACAAGCCTTGAATCCTTCAGATCCGACAGGCCAGGCTAGTGACAGCCACTTCTCCCTGGCTGTGGAGCTCCAGGAGACCAGCCACCCCCATCCCTGGCTGCCCATGGAGGTTAGGTCCGGGCTGGCACACTTGCAGGAGGAAAGCTGCTGCCCCATTTGTCTGGATTACTTCAAAGACCCCGTGACCATCGACTGTGGGCACAACTTCTGCTTTGACTGCCTGCATATGTGCTGGAAGGATCTCCACAGTGGACCTGCTGATGACTTTCCCTGCCCGGTGTGCCGATTTCACTTTGCCCGCATCCACTTCAAGAGGAACCCCCAGCTCCGGAATTTGGCTGAAATTGCCAAGCAACTCCAGGTGCGAAGGAGCAAGAGGCAGCAGAGGCTGGAGGAACACCCCATGTGCCAGAAGCACAACCAGTTCTTGACCTTTTTCTGTTCGAGGGACATGCAGGTGTTATGTCCGCTGTGCAGTTTCTCGGCAGAACACCAATCACACTACATTTGCTCTGTGAAGACGATTGCCTCTTATCACCGGGGGCTGGTAAAAGAGTCCCTGAGTACCTTGCAGAGCAATGCAGAGCGCGCAGACAAGGTGGTCGCCCTGCAAGGCACGAGATCCAAGGAGCTGAGAGCCCAGGTGGAGCTCCGCACGGATGAAATCAATTCCGAGTTCGAGCAAGTCAGGTGGTTTTTCCAGGTTCAGCAAGAGGCTCTCCTTCAGCAGATGCGGGAGGAAGAGTCAAGCATTTTAACAGAGCTTCAGAAACATCTGGTAACGCTTTCCAGCCAGGTTTCCACTCTGTTGCATCTCCTGAAAGAGGTCAAGGACAAGCAAGCAAGTTCTGACCTGGAGCTGCTGACAGATGTGAAGAGTCTCCACGACAGGTTGCACAATAGGAAAAGTCCTGAGCTCGTCTCTTTCCAGTTAAAGGAATATGCTTTCGGGCTCCCTCCACAGTACTCTAGTTTGGATCCGATTATCAAGAAGTTTCACATCCAGGTGTCTTTGGATCCCAACACGGCTCACCCCTACCTTGTTGTTTCTGAGGACAGAAAAATGGTGTGGTATTCCCAAGGAAGAGAGAACAGCTCCAGGGAGCTCTGTGCTGCTGTTCTGGGTTTAGAGAAGTTTGTTTCTGGCCGCCATTACTGGGAGGTGGAGGTGGGAAGCAAAGGCAGGTGGACCTTGGGTGTGTGCCAAAACCGCCTTCCTCGGAACTGGAGCAATCACACTGCAGTTCACAAGGGTGTCTGGGCAGTGGGGCTATATACCGAGGAGGAGGGCTATGTAGCATTTGGTCCCAGGAAAACCCACATCATGACAAGAGTCAGACCCAGTAAGGTTGGCATTTTTTTGGACTATGAATTAGGTGAGGTTTTCTTTTACAATATGACTGATAAGTCTCTTCTCTATAGTTTTAGTGATTCCTTTACTAATCCCATCTGCTCTTTTTTCTGTCCTGGAGTAGATCCTGAACCTCTAAAAATTGCTCCACTGTCTAGATGATGGAAAACAAGTTAAGGCTAGTTTAGACAGTCAATTTCATCATATTTCTAGAGCCTTTGATTTTTTTAATTTTTTTTTTTATTTTTTGTCGAGGGGCTTGAACTCTGGGCCTGGGTGCTATCCCTCAGCTCTTCAGCTCAAGTCTAGTGGTCTACCACAAGTACCCCATAGCACCACTATCTATAAAACCCCTCTGTATTTTATATATGTATATATATATGTGTATTATATATATATATATATATATATATAATCCAGAGGGGTTACAGTTATGAGTAGGGTAATGAGTACATTTCCTATTGAACATTGTTACCTCCTTTGTTTTTCCCCTACCATCCCTTCGCTCCCCACCTCCCCAACTCTTCCCTCTCCCCCCTAGGATAAAATTAATCCCAAGATTGGAGATAGAGGAATGAGGACAGAATTGGTCTTTCCTACTATGTTACTCAGTGATTTCAGAGTTGTAATAATTCATCCTTCTGTGTAGTAATGAAATTTACATCTTTGTGTATTTTTGACTGCCATGATAATTATTTAAGAAGTTCTTCTGGGATAAGAGGTGGTGGTGAGGGGGTGAGGTTGATTGGGATACATTATAACTGTATAAACGTGTCACAGAGCCCCCAGATCCCTTGTACAACTGATGTGGCTAATAAAGAGACATAGTTCATTGTTGTCATCTGCCTCAGTCTCATGTTTCTGGGACCACAATTTTCTCCATCAGGGGAGAATCAAGGGCCATGGAATGGAATTGGAAAGTGCTAAGCATGAATGTGGTGTGTGTGTGTGTGTGTGTGTTTATGCCATACTCAGGGCTTGAACTCAGGGCTTAGGCATTGTCCACGAGCTTCTTTTGCTCAAAGCTAGCACTCTATCCCTTGAACTACAATGCCCCTTCTGGCCTTTTCTGTTTATGTGGTACTGAGGAATTGAACCCAGGGCTTTGTGCCTGCTAGGCAAGCACTCTACCACTAAGCCACATTCCCAGCCCAAAGATGAAGGGCTTCTGATCTGGGTTTTTTCATTCCTGTGGGGCTGGGGATAAAGACCAGAACTTTCTTTGTTTCTTTGTGCATGTTAGCTAGTGTACTCTATTGAGCTACACAATCTCATACCTTTTCTGGTTCAAAGCAGCCTGGGCAGTAAAGTCAGTGAGACTCCTAGCTCCAATTAACCATCAGAAAACCTGAAGTGGTGCTGTGGCTCAAGTGGTAGAACGCTGGCCTTGAGCGGAAGAGCTGAGGAACAGTGCCCAGGCCCAGAGATCTTCCTGTTCCAGCTGATTCAAGTGGTGATCCTCAGGTTTCTGCATCCTGAGTAGCTATGATTTCATGTGTTAATTATCAGCACCCAGTTTTTTTTTTCTTTTGGTTGGTTATATGGCTTCAACTTCAATGGAGATAAGAGTCTCAGGGACTTTCCTGCGCTGGGGAACTTTGAATCATGATCCTCAGATCTCAGCCTCCTAAGTAGCTAGGATTACAGGCCTGAGCCACTGGCATCCAGCTGCTGCTGCTGCCGCCGCCACCTCCTCCTCCTCCTACTTTGTTCTTCTTCTTCTTCCTTCTTCTCCTTTTTTATGCTGGTACTTGTGCTAGAACTCAGAGTTGGGGCATTAGCTTTCTCTAAGCTCATGATCTACCTGAGGGCTATAACTTTACTAACCACTTTTTGGTGGTTAGTAGATACCAGTGCCAGGCTTTTCTTTTGTCTTTTTTTTTTTAAGATAAGCCTACACTATATAGCCCAACTCACTAAGATTGCCTACAAACGTGCTTCTACCACTGCCGAACAAGTGCATGGTGTGTGCCACCATGCCTAGCTCCAGCTGAATGTGTGTACCAGTCCTGGGGTTTGAAATCAGGCCTGGGTGCTATTCCTAAGCTTTTTTGTTCAAGGCTCCCACTCCACCACTTGAACCACAGCTCTATTTCCTGCTTTGGGGTAGCTATTGGAGATAACACTCTCAGACTTTCCTGCCTGGACTGGCTTGATCTGAGATCCTCAGATCTCAGCCTCCTGAGTAGCTAGAGTTATGGATATAAGCAACCATACTTGGCTTTTGCTTTCTTTTTTCTTTTTAACATTTGAGGGCTGCCCCTGGTATTGGTGGCTCATGCCTGTAATCCTAGCTGCTCTGGAGGCTGAGATCTGAGGTGCTCTGTTCCAAGTCAGCTTGGGCAGGAACATCCTTGAGCCTCTTCAAGAAACTACCAACAGAGCTGAAAGATGGCTCAGTGGTAGAGCTCTTGCCTTGCATGCCTGAGGTCCTGGGTTTGATTCCTCAGCACCACATAAGCAAAAAGAAGCTGGAAGTGGCGCTGTGGCTATAGTGGTAGAGCGCTAGCCTTGAGCTGAAGAGCTGAGGGACAGCGCCTAGACCCAAAGTTCAGGCTCCACGACCGGACCCCCCACCAGCCCCCAGAAAAGAAACTACCAACAGAGCCAGCAGTGGAGCTGGCTCAAGTGGTAGAGCACTAGCCTTTGAGCAAAAGAAGCTCAAGGACAGGACACAGGCCCTGAGTTTGAGCTCCAAGAACAGCAGCAACAAGAAAAAAGGCTGGCTGAGGGGAATGAGGGGCAACCTCTGAGGCTCCCCGGGGCAGGGAAGTAGGACAGTTGGTAGTGGGTGGTCAGGCTGGACCCTCAGGCACCTGCTCTGAGGAACTGGCTTCTCCTGGATGCTGGGGACAGTGTTGAAAACCGCACTCTGCAAAGGGGACAAAGCTGGTGGGAAGCAGAGATACTCAGCCCTGGTGAGGTTAGGGTCAAGTCAATCTTAGCCACTCAGAAGATGGAATTAAAGTCAAAGGATTAATCATGGACTGGGAAGGTGGCTCAGTGGTAGAGCGCTTGCCTTGCATGCATGAAGCCCTGGGTTCGATTCCTCAGCACCACAAAAGCAGAAAAAGCTGGAAGTGGCACTGTGACTAAGTGCTAGAACATTAGTCCTGAGCTGAAGAGTTGAGGGACTGAGTCCAGGCTCAGAGGTCAGGACTCATGACCCACAAAAAAAAAAAAAAAAGGATTATTCAAGACGTACAAAAGCATAAACTGCATGCAAATCCACAATGCTTGTGATCCACCTGGTTAAATCACGACACTGGATATTCCTCCCAGACCAGTCCTTCCCTCCCTGTGGCCCACCCTGCCCCAGGGAGAAGACACCACCCCGGTGTGGGCGTGGCCTCCATACCCACCCTCTCATCCAGGTATATATAAGCTAGGGCCCACCAGTCAGCTGCCAGTCTGTGCAAGGCTGCAGTTGAGGTCCATTCTGGGAGTCTGTCCTGCTAGAGCCTCTGAGCTAGCTCCCACTCCAGGTAAGCAGGAAGGGGGCACTAGGTGGGCGTGGCCATCACTGTTCTTAACCCAGGGGAACCACTGCAGATGATGTTACCTGAACTCAACTTTGATTACTTATAAAAATGACTGTGTGGGGGCTGGGAATGTGGCTTAGTGCTAGAGTGCTTGCCTAGCCTGCATGAAGCCCTGGGTTTGACTTCTCAGCACCACATAAACAGAAAAAGCTGGAAGTGGCCCTGTGGCTAGGAAAGTCTGTGGGACTCTTATCTCCTATAAACCACCATAAAACTGAAAGTGTCTCTGGCTCAAGTGGTAGAGTGCTAGCCTTGAGCAAAAGAAGCTCAGGGACAGTGCCCAGGCCCTGAGTTCAAGCCCCAGGATTGGCAGAAAGAAACAACCCCACCCCAAATTACTATTTTTACTTCACATGGCATTATGCATATTTCAATACATAGTGATTGGGTCAGAGCAGATGAGAGTAACTGACTTATCTAGCAACTGAATATTTGCTGGGGGCTGTCCCTGACTTTTTATGCCTAGGGCAAAGAACTGTACTATTTCCAGCTTTTTGGAGGTTAATTGGACATAAAAATCTCAAGGACTTTCCTGCTCAAGTTGGCTGAAATGTTACCTTATTGTTTTTATTTATTGACTTTTTGGTTGGTCATGGGGCTTGAACTCTGTGCCTGGGCACTGTCCCTCAGCTCTTCAGCTTAAGGCAAGAGCTCTACCACTTGTGCCAATGAGACACTTCCATTTTCTGGTGGCTTATGGGAGAAAAGATTCTCAGAGACTTGCCTGGATCTGCAATCCTCAGAACTCTGTCTCTTCAGTAGCTAGGATTACAGGCCTGAGCCACCAGTGCCTAGCTTTTTGTTTTTCTTTTTCTTTTGTAGGTCATGAGGCCTGAACTCTGGGCCTGAGCACTGTCCCTCAACTCTTCAGCTAAAGGCTAGCACTGTACTATTTGAGCCACAGTGCCACTTTCTACATTTTCTGCTTATGTGGTGCTGAGGAATCAAACCCATGGGCCCTATGCGTGCAAGGCAAACACTCAGCCACTGAGCCACCTTCCCAGCCCCTGTAATTATTATTATTTTCAGATACAAGTATCAACCAGGAAAAAGAGTGTAGGGACTGTGAATGTGGTTTAATGGTAGAGTGCTTGCCTAGCATGTATGAAACACAGAGTTGCATTCTTCTGTACCACCTAAAGAGAAAGAACTGGAATTGGCATTGTGGCTCAAGTGGTAGAGTTCTGGTCTTGAGCAAAAGAAGCTCAGGGACAGACCCCGGTCCTACGTGCAAGTGCCAGGACTGGCAAATAATAATAATAATGTGTGTATGTAGTATATAATTTTGTGTGGGTCCTGGGCCCTGTCTACTTTAGAGCCAGAGCTCCAGTTTTGGCTTTTGTTTTGTCACAGACTTTCTCCTGTCTAGGCTGGTTACATATTGAACCACACAAGTGTGCGTCCAAGATCTGCTTTTTTTTTTTTTTTTTTGGCCAGTCTTGGCACTTGAACCTAGGATCTGGGCACTGTCCTTGAGCTAATTTTGGTCAAGCTTTGCACTCTACACTTGAGTCACAGTACCACTACTGGCTCTTTTTGTTTATGTGATACTGAGGAATTGAAGCCAGGACTTCATGCATGCTAGGCAAGCACTCTACCACTTGAGCCACATTCCCAGCCCATTCAAGATATGCAATTTTGATTGATATATATGCTCCTCAGTGCTTTGTTCTACATTAGATTTTTTCTGTTTCTGTTGCAGAA